TAATGAAGAATGAAACTCCACAAATATTTTTTCGAGATTAGGTACATGTTCAATAAGACTTTCCAGAAAACGTGTCTGATTAAGACGAATGTGTAAACGACGAAGAGTCACACAACAAGATGAAAATTGACATTGAATAAAATTGGAAAAGAGATGAGAATTTGACGCTAAACATCCATGAATACCACCATACCGAAATTCATTGCTAATATCAAGTCGAAGAGATGTTAATTGACATCGAGCAGAAAATAATTGACGAAGAAGTTGTTCGATCATAATTATTTCTTTTTCTATTGTTTATCAAAGAAAAAAAGAGACGAATTTTTTTCAATTATTCAAAAGAATAACATTTTCTATAAAAAAAAGAACTGTTTTTAATTTCAGGCTTAATAACGTGAAACCCATATTTACAAAATGTCGCTCGTTTTTGATTGATCAAACTATCGAATAGTGAGAACAACTAATATAGAAAAGTAACTAAATAGATTTTTATTTTATTTGCATTGGGTCAACTGAATGAATATACAAGTTGATTGACATTTCAATAAATGAATGATGATAACATCTTGACGATAATCATGAGATAAGATTGAAACACAACAAGATTTATGTATCTTGACATACTAATTTTTGACATCTAATGTTTTTTCCTGCATAACAAAGGAATAATCAATTATTCAATTGTATATTTTTACTTATCATAAATAATTTCTATCGTCTATATGATAATAGAATCTCTTACACAGTAATAAATCAATGGTAAGTAGAGACTTTTCTTATCGAATGGAACTTATTTTGATAGAGAAAAGTCTATATTGGTTCTTTCCCATGCTTCTGTATGCTTCAGTTAGGTGACCATTTATCGAATTTTTATTCAATAGAAGAATATCTCAACACATAGAAAACATAAATTTCAATCTCAAAATTTATTCAAGAGATCTTGTAAGACTTACAACATATCATTTCAGTTCAAACAGGCCAATCCTTTCTTAGGCATGAAAAATTGAAAATGGAAATTTTATAAGATGTCTCAAAAAGTGCAAAATCCTAGAACTTGATATTAGGAGAAGTGACTGCTTGTTTTAGTTAAAGATTCCCGTTGGAAATAACATGACGTCGATTTAAAAGTTTTCAGGGTGAACTGGTGACATTTGATATTTCTTGATACATTGCTATCGAGAGAAACTCTCGTGAAATAGTCATAACTAAACCTATATCAGACAAGTTTCCAGTTGGGGTTCAAGTAACTCCTTTTCCAA